TATAAGTATCCTCACTTCGTTACGATGAGATTGAGATATTGCATATATACAACTCGCTGATATTTATTTTTGGAACTAAAGGAAGATTTACAAATAATGTTTCTTTCACCTTTCAACTGCTTTGTTATTTTACATCCTTTATGTGCATTTATTAAAAAAGGATGCTTCGCTAAAAAAAACGACAGGATACATCTTTAGAGCATTTTAAGAATAATAAGATATACATAAGAAAATATGAAATCTTTCTTTTCATAACAATGGATAAATAATACACGTTAACTAGATATACCTCTTTGAGATTCCATTAATTTTAAGGCGTTCTCTTGGGATTCACATTTGCAGATTGCATCCTTCAGGGCACTGTTAATGCTCTTCCATTCTTCTTTCCTGAGTTCATTCGCTTTACATTGTATATTGAAATCAATAAGATACAAAAGGCATTTAAGTATCACGTTGTTGCAATAACATTGTGATAATGCATATATACAACTGGAAAGGTAAATTTAAGTGACCAATTATTTTAATATTGCTATTTCTACATTACATTATACAAAATGATACTACTGAGCTTTACTTTATCTCTACGTGCCATATTCTGAGACGTTTGCGACCATGGGGTACAACAACTCTCTGTCCCATATTCTATGACGTAATTCATTCTCCCCGAGATCAACTCCACATTAAAAAATCCCACTCCTTAGGCTACTCATCCACATAATCCTCCTTCTACCCCTACTCCTCCTCCCCTCGACTCTTCCATTTAGCGCAAGATTTTCCAAACCATTCTTCCGTATAACATGGCCCAAGAAGCTCAGCTGTCGACCTGTTATATTATTCAGAAGCTTTCGTCTTGTTTCTGCCATAGCAATATACCTCATTATTAGAAACTCTTTCTGTCCATGAAATTCTTAGCATCCTTCTCAGGAGCCAAACTTCATAATTTTCCAGTCGCTGTCTTAGGTTTGTTGTCAGGGTCCAAGCTTCACATCCATACATTGTAACTGTATACACATATACATTGATACGCTGAGTCTCGTTCTCATATTCAGCTTTTTATTCTTTAAGATGTTTTCTAAATTAGAGAAAGTTGATTTTGCAAGTGCAATCCTTCTTTTGATTTCTTGCTCGCCTCCTGCATTGTCTGTAGTTGTAGTCCCGAGGTAATTATGGCGATGGCTTGCTTTTTTGATCGTTATTGATCTTAAGATATCAAGGTATTCCTCCCTTCTTTGAAATTACCATAAGTCATTGCAGGTCCTTCTCTGATTCTACGATTAATATAGTATCATCCGCATACCGTATGTTTGTGATATTATGTCCTACCTTGATGATGATGATGATGAACAGCATTTGTATAGCGCCATTTATCTGCAAAAGCATTCAAAGGCGCCTGGCTCCCTCAATATGTCACATATTATTCGCAATGTTGCCGGAAAAGATAGGTTTTGAGTTCAGATTTAAAGGTATCAATGTTGTTACAATTTCGAAGTTGGACAGGTAGAGAGTTCCAAAGATGCGGAGCAGATGAAGAGAAGGCTCTATCCCCGTATGTTTTTAGACGGGTACTGGGCACTTGAAGAACGAGTCCCGCACAGCGTAGTCCTGGTCGTAGCTGACGTACACTGATGAGAGCAGATACATAGCCAGGGGACAAGTTATGTAGAGCCTTAAATGCAAGCAGCAAGATCTTATACTGCACTCTGCAGTGCACTGGCAGCCAATGAAGCTCATGGAGTGTAGGCGAGATGTGGTCAAACTTCCTGATTCCCATCAGAAGGCGAGCAGCAGCATTCTGGACCGCCTGGAGACGTTTGATGGCTGATGATGGTAAGCCGACAAGGAGAGAGTTGCAGAAATCCAGCCTTGAGGTTATTAGAGCATGAATGAGGTTTTCCGCGGCACTTCTGGTGAGACAGTGTCTGATCTCTGCAATCCTGCGGAGATGGTAGAATGCAGACTGACAGACACGCGAAATGTGATCCTTCATGCTCATAGTTCTGTCGAAGACTACTCCAAGATTTCTAGCCTTGTTGTTGGGAGATACAGCTTCCTCACCGACTAGAATAGGAGTACCAGTGATCTTATTTCCCATGTGTGGTGAAGACAAAAGGAGATACTCGGTTTTCTTTTCATTTAGCTTCAAGAAGTTGCGTCTCATCCAACATCGAATCTCTTCGATGGCAGCACTGATGGCTGCAGCTGCACGTTCCTCAGCGCCTCCAACTTTTGGATCAAAAGTTAGGTAGAGCTGGGTGTCGTCTGCATAGAAATGTGCGCTAAGACCATGTCGCTGTATGATAGAGCCAAGAGGGGTGATGTAGAGTGTGAAGAGCAAGGGACCGAGGACAGAGCCTTGCGGAACTCCGTAGCTAAGGGTGGTCTCAGGTGATAGCTTGCCATTGATGACCACAGCTTGTCTTCTGTCGTTGAGGTAAGACTCAAACCATTGGAGTGCAGTTGCTTCAATTCCAAAATCTTCTCTAAGCCTCTCAAGCAGAACAGCATGATCGATGGTATCAAATGCAGCTGACAGGTCAAGCAGAACTAGGGCAGCTGCTTTTCTGCAATCAATTGATGTTAGGATGTCATCCGAGACCTTCAGTAGTGCCGTCTCCACACTGTGATTCTTTCTGTATGCAGACTGTAGGCACTCATGTAGATCATTGCCCTGCAGATAAGCTGTCAGACGACTTGCGACAATTTTCTCAGTCACTTTGGCCAGAAAAGGCAAATTTGATACTGGGCGATAGTTAGCCAGATCGTTCAATCCTCTTTCCTGTTCTAGTTTTTACTACTTTTACTAGTTTCCCCAATAGACCAGGGTCAAGTTTGTGTACGTCTATATGAAGGTTACCGTAGGTTTTTCAGGCCAATTTTGATGTGTTTCAGTCAGTTTCAAAACACACCTTCATTTTTCCTCGGAGAACGTCATTCAAACGTGTAGTTTATTCAAGTTAGTGTTTAGGGCATTCGATTCGTTTACGTCTAGGGCATGTACCAAGATTCATTAACAATTATCGGCACTTCAGGAAATGTGATCTCGAGCATTCAAAGTCGCAAATGGGCAGTCAAGTTTTAAATAATTTTAGTCAAAGTTAAATTAAACTAACATGTATGTTGTTTATGAATTTTCTTTTCTTTCAAATTCCATGCGATGTTATGATTATGATGTAGTCCCTTTCACTAGCCATAGTAGACAAGATTCGTATCGAACTATCGCTGTTATCCCTGCCTAGCGACCCGTGTGAGAAGTTAGGGATCAACAACCTGTCTTTGGGAGGGCCCTGTCAAGTATTAGTACTACTAATAATCGCACACCCGATCAAGGGGTTCGATAAGACAAACTTGACAGGGCAAGGGGCGTCACGTGGGGAAAAAGTTAATGACGTCATCCGCTTCGCAGAGACTATATTATAACTTTATTATTTATTATTATTTTTTTTTATTATTTATTCAAAGATATTTATTATACAGGATGACAATATCGACCAAGGCTGTTTTTCGTATTGGTCCTGCATATACATACTTGGTAAAATACAAACAATGAAATACAAAATATCATTGAAATATGCAAAACATGAATAGATTACATGGATATTGAATAATATAACGTTTTATAAAATAACCAGCGACTAGACACATGGATTTACATTCAAAGATTTACCAATAATCACACCAAAAAAAATGAAACAAAGTAAGAAAACAAAAATAACACACTCGTATATATTCATATGGGTAAACAAATATATACACACATCTATCAAGATATTGGTTATTTATAATATTAATGAAAGTACAATATTTTGTAAAGGTATTTAAATGAAGAAATAGATGTAAAATTGTGTAAGTTAATAGGTAATAAGTTCCAGATAACTCCTCCTGAGTACATAAGACTGTTCTTAAAGCATGCTAGATTAGGTTTTGGAAATATTACATTTGTTTTGTCAGCGGCTCAAGTATTTAAGTTATGTCTATCGCAGACCATTACTATAGCATTACACAGATGTGTTGGTGCAATACCATGTACAGATTTATACATTAAAACAGCTAAAAAATCATTTCTCCTTTCGTCAAATGATTGCCATTTCATCAATTGTATTAAATCATCACCTCTAACATTTCCATAGTCATAGTTGGATGTAATTATACGTGCTGCTCTCTTTCGTAACCTTAAGAGTAACTATTTTGTTGCCTTGAGCAATTTCCCCAGAGTGTGTATGAATAGCCAATACATAGTAGAATAATTGTATTATATATGAGCTTTACGGATTTGACATCTAAATATTGGGACATAGTACGTAATGAGAACAGTTTCATAGAAATCAATCTGGTAAGTCTTTTAACATGAATATCCCAAGTAAGGTGTTCATCAATTTCCACCCCTAAATATCTAAAATTAAGAACCTGTTCCATTTTCGTTCCATCCATGTATATATACAACTCATATGCTTTACGTGTACTCAAAAGCATAATACTATCTTTTAGTTTATTCTGAGTATACCATATATGTATTGAAAGAACATCTTTTTGCAACAATATGGTTAGTTCATCAATGTTCTTATGAGAAGAATATATAATGACATCATCAGCAAACATATTACATGTACATGTCTGCAAAGACTGAGCTATATCATTAAAAAAAAGTAAAAATAAATTGGTCCGAGGACACTCCCTTGAGGTATTCCATTTGAAAATGTTTTTGAGTTTGAAAGTATACCATGACAGAAAACTATTTGTCTCCTTTAAAACGAATAACTACTAAACCATTTTAACTGTTTATCCTTTATACCATAACATTGTAGTTTCTTAAGTAATAATTAATGGTCAATTGAATCAAAACATTTGAAAATATATAAAAAGCACGCAACTACAATTTGTTTTCATTAAAAGATTCCAGCCAATCATCTATAGTTATATGAATACATGTATTGGTTGAGTAGGAAAGCTGATTGATCTATACAAATCAATTCTTTCATGCGATAATAAATCAATACTTACTCATAGTGTAACGAAATCGTTATTTACATTACCTAGCCTTTAGAGGGCGTTAGTTATTGTAATTGTTTATTGTTATTGTAGATGTCGCTATGGTTACGTCGCGCACTGCGATGCGTGTACGTGGGGTTAATCTTGTGGGCAATTTTGTGTTGAGCTGCGGAAGAAGGAAGTTGTGCCTTAATTTGTTTGGAAGTTCAGATTATTAAAGTTCTTGGAAACATTACTTGATCTGTAAGTGCATATTATTTCCTGTGTTGGTAACTTAATTTAGTTAAGTGATTGTAAGCTGATCTGAGAGTGTCTGTTGCACAATATATTTTTTTGTGAGAACGTCGAGTACAGAGAAAGAGCGGGTTCTGACTGAAGAAGTGACGCTACCCAGAGAGTGAGAGACCCGTTTTCGTTACATTGGTGGCTAGCGGTGGGATTAAAACAGACACGAGACACGGTACTCGATCAGCATACGGCAGAGCTGATTATCAAAAATAAGGTTAATCGAGCATTAGCTCGACACGGCAACTCCTCACACTATGAATATGACAGACAATGAAAGCGGACAAAATATACAGTTCCTTAGGTAGACAAAGGAACATCCCTTCACTGCTATTATGTAAAAATGTGTAGAACAGGTGTCACATGCATATTCACCTGTTCTACACATTTTACATAATAGCAGTCAAGGGATGTTCCTTTGTCTACCTGAGGAACTGTATATTTTGTCCGCTTTCATTGTCTGTCATGTTCATAGTGTCACCGGCTTCAACACGGTGGTCTATAGCACCTCCCTGCTTCAACACAGCGCTCTATAGCACCTCACCGCTACAACACGGCGGTCTATAGCGCCTCACCGCTTCAACACAGCGTTCTATAGCACCTCACCGCTACAACACGACAGTCTATAGCACCTCACCGCTTCAACACAGCGCTCTATAGCACCTCACCGCTACAACACGGCGGTCTATAGCGCCTCACCGCTTCAACACAGCGTTCTATAGCACCTCACCGCTACAACATGGCGGTCTATAGCACCTCACTGCTTCAACACGGTGGTCTATAGCGCCTCACCGCTTCAACACAGCGCTCTATAGCACCTCACCGCTACAACACGGCGGTCTATAGCACCTCACCGCTTCAACACGGCGCTCTATAGCACCTCACCGCTACAACACGGCGGTCTATAGCACCTCACTGCTTCAACACGGTGGTCTAAAGCACCTCACCGCTTCAACACGGCGTTCTATAGCGCCTCATCGCTTCAACACATCACTCTGTGGCGCCTCCACACAACAACGACGCAGAAAGCATCAGTGTTTGGAAGAACATTGTGGTATGGCTTCTCAGAGACTGACTATAGAGGACGAGGTAGAAGTCCTTGCAGCAGAAGTGCAGCGAGGCGACGAAGATCTACGTCGGTCCAAGACAGAGATTCAGTCATTATTAGAACATAATCAGCTTCTCAGACTGCAGGTAAGAAGGCTGCATATCGATCAGTCTCCTGTAAGTTTCCCTAACCAGTCCCAGAGTGGAACACCACCCACTGCTGGTAGACGGGAACATGAGTCAACGGAGACTCATGCGACCACAATGAATGATAACTTGCTGGTCAATCCCAAGGGACCTGAATCACCAATGCATGGATGCCTAGAGGATCAAACGCAAGTGAAGGTGGCAAACGAGCAGACTGCAGCTGCTGAGGCGAAGGAACTTCATGCTGCACAGTGGTCTCCAAGTAAAACATCAACAGCCGTTCGTCGGGCAGATGGGCTACGAACAGGCTTCTTACATAGGCAATATTTGGATGCTTCAGATGTTCTTGCATCAATTCCTCACTACCAGCGACACGGGAGCGAAGTTCCAGGGGTACGGTTACCTGTTACACTGTCTAAGCCAAATGTATCGCCCGACAAATTCGATGGGAGGACACCTTGGAGGGATTACCTCAGCCATTTTGAAGCCTGCAAGGTCGATAATAACTGGGGTGATGACCAGGCAAAGGTTTTCCTAGCAGCAAGTTTGAGGGGATCAGCACTGAAGATCTTGGGCAGCAAGGCAGCTGACACTTCTCGGATCGCATACCAAGACCTGGTAGTTCTTCTAGAGAAGATATTTGGCCCAGGACAGTTGGCAGAGAACTTCCTCCTTGAACTGCGTTACAGACGCCAAGGGCCCAGAGAGACCCTCCAGGAACTGGGTCAGGCCATACGGGAGTTATCCATGTTGGCATACCCGGAACTTACTGAAGAAGCCCAGGATCGGTTGGCAAGGACACACTTTGCAGAGGCGATTGAGGACCAATCCATCAGGGAAGGGGTCTTTCGACCTAAGCCAACAACTATGGATGAAGCCATCCAGGCGGCCTTGGCAACTGATATTTTTTTCAGACTCGAGGAACAACGGTCTGGCAGGAGGCAGAAGCAAGCAAGGGCCGTTGACACTGATTCAGCAGCTACGATCAATGAAATCTGGAGAGAGCTGAAGAGTATAGATGAGAGAATCGCCAAACAGGAACGACCCATCAAGTCAGAAGAATTCAGACGGGAGAGACCCAACTCGTACAGGCGGAGAACACCAACAGCCACAGATGAATGCTACGAGTGTCATGAGAAGGGGCATTTTAGGCGTAACTGCCCTCACGCAAGAGAATACAGGAGGCCTTCGGGAAACGAGGCTCAGCCAACCCAGAGGCCCGAGGGGAGGCTGGACGGACACCAGGGCATGTAACTGACACACCTCCATCTCCTCGAGAATATCCTTCAAGGAATTACATATCTGATAAAGCACGACGTGGTCTTTTTGTTGAAGTGGAGATAAGGGGAATCAAAGCAAGGTTGTTGGTAGATTCAGGTGCCACCGATACCATTTTATCTTCATCCGTGTACTATCGGAAACATTCAACTAATAGGCCAGACTTGACAGAAGTGGGAGTTCGCAATGCAGATGGCAGTAGCATGGAAACGCTAGGTAGTGCATGGTTGGAGCTTGGTGTAGGAACATGCATCTTTCCACTAGAAGTAGTCTTCGGCAATACCGACCAGGTAGACGGGCTACTTGGGCTGGACTTCATGGAACCAAATGGGTGTATTATCGATCTGAAGACAAAGGAACTACGGCTCAAGGGGGAGAGAATCAAATGTACGGATGCACGAGGAGTTTCATTTAGCTCCAGAGTATTGATAGGGGCAACTACAAGGGTGCCACCAGGTCATGAGGTTATTGTTCCAGGCTACACGACAGGGCTGCAAGATGGGACAGGTCTAGGTCTCATTGAACCTGCGGAGAGTAGCGAGCTCCTGAACAAAGGCATCATCGTTGCACGGGTAGTTGTAGAAAGGACGGAAACAACCCTCCCTGTTCGAGTCTTCAACCCAGGAAAGAAGGCATGCGTAATTCGCAGAGGTACACTTGCCGGCCATCTAACACCCATCAGCGGGGAGGACATTGAAGAAATTCCAGGCCAACCTTTACCAACAACCGATAATCATACAGTCCCAGACCATCTCGTAGATCTCTTTGAAAGAAGCAAGAGAGGGATAGACAAGGTCTTCCATGACAGAATTGCCAAGCTACTGTGCGAGAACCAAGACATTTTCGCAATTTCGGACTCAGACATTGGAAAGACTGGCCTTGTCAAACATCACATCAACACAGGGGATAGTCTTCCAATCAGACAAAGGCCCCGTAGGTTTCCACCCAAGGAGCAGGAAGAGATTGATCGTCAAATCCAAGACATGCTTGAACATGACAGAATAGAGCCCTCAGGCAGCCCTTGGTCATCCAATGTTGTTCTCGTAAAGAAAAAAAAAACGGGTCAAAAAGGTTTTGCGTGGATTATCGTCGTCTGAATCACTTGACAATCAAGGACAGCTACCCAATACCTCGCATTGATGATTCGCTGGACGCACTTGGAGGTGCAAAATGGTTTTCTACTTTGTACCTGGCCTCAGGATATTGGCAGGTCGAGCTAGATGAAGAAGCCAAAAAGAAATCAGCTTTCGTTGTTCGAGGAGGGCTATACAGCTGGAAAGTGATACCTTCGGGCTATGCAACGCCCCATCCACCTTTGAGAGGCTGATGGAGCAGGTCCTGTCCGGACTGCATTGGGAAGTACTCTTGGTTTACTTGGACGATGTCATTGTATTCGCCAAAACAATCGACGAAGAACTGACTAGACTGGGGATGGTCTTCCAACGTCTTCGGAAAGCAGGATTGAAGCTCAAAGCAAAGAAATGTCACCTATTTCGGGAGAGTGTCTTGTATCTGGGACATGTAGTGTCCAGGGAAGGAGTGTCCACAGACCCGGAAAAGATAAGAGCTGTCAAGGAGTGGCCAACCCCTACTAGTGTAAAGGACGTCCAGAGTTTCTTAGGACTGGCCTCGTACTATAGGAGGTTTATTGAAGGATTTGCCAATATCGCCCGGCCACTACATCGGCTAACCGAGAAAGCCCACACCTTCGTATGGACTGAGGAATGTGAAGATGCCTTCCAGGAACTCAAGAAGCGGCTGTACCAATCGCCTATCTTAGCATACCCAGACCCAGAACAGGATTATATCCTGGATACGGATGCTAGTAATGAGGGGATAGGGGCTGTCCTGTCTCAAGTGGTAGATGGAAAGGAACGAGTCATATCATATGCTAGCAGAGCTCTGAACAAAGCAGAGAAGAACTATTGCGTTACCAGAAAGGAGTTGCTCGCCGTCGTATAATTTTTGAAGAAATTCCGACAGTACTTGTATTGGCAGAAGACTACGGTCAGGACGGACCACGGAGCATTGCGATGGCTTCTGAATTTCAAAGATCCGCAAGGGCAGATGGCCCGCTGGCTTCAAGTGATAGCTGAGTATGATATCGAAATCATACACCGAGCTGGTCGCTCGCATGCCAATCCAGATAGTTTGTCAAGACGGCCTTGTCCCCAGTGTAAACGGGATGTTGAGGAGTCTGCAGGCTTCGAAGTCCAAGCAGGACCTGGAAATGGCCGTGCAGAGGTAAATGCGGTTACCCTAGCACCAAGTATCACCAATGCACACCTGAACCAAGAACAAACTGAAGATTCATCAATCAAGTGGATCTTGAACGGCAAACAACAATCAAAAGACAGGCCTGAATGGTCTTCAATGGCATCAAAGTCTAGTGTCGAAAAGTCTTACTAGAGTTGCATGGTGGGAAGTCCAGCGGACATCTAGGGATGAACAAAACCATAGCCAAAGTTCGCATGAGATTCTACTGGTACGGAATGGATGCAGACATACGGTCCGTAGTTCGACAATGCAACGTCTGTGCCTCCAAGAAGTCACCAGCTAAGAAACGGAGGGCCCCCTTGCAACAAGATACGGTAGGAATGCCGATGGAGCGTGTCGCCATGGACGTAGTTGGACCGCTACCCGAGACGGAGAGAGGGAACAAGTACATTCTGCTTGTAGGGGACTATTTTAGCAAGTGGATGGAGGCCTACCCAATACCAGATCAAACCGCTGTAACGGTTGTAGACAAGTTTGTAAACGAGTTTGTTTGTAGGTTTGGTGTTCCTGAAGTATTGCATTCGGATCAGGGCCGGAATTTCGAGTCTCGCGTCTTTAAGGAAATGTGCGGCATCCTTGGCATTCACAAGACACGCACCACCCCATACAACCCAAAGTCCGATGGACTCATTGAACGGTTTAATGGCACTCTGCTCAACATGATCTCAATGATGATTGAACCCCATAAGCGACAACGAGATTGGGACGAGAAGTTGGCGATCGCAGTGTTTGCCTACCGTAGTGCTCCCCAAGACTCCACAAGGGAGACACCTAATATGCTGATGTTAGGGCGGGAAGTGCATTTGCCAATAGACCTGACCACAGAGGCTCTAGAGGACCCCGAGGAGCATGATATTGAGACAGACTACGCATACACCTTGAGGCAACGCATGCGGGAAGCTCACGAAAGGGCCCGTAAGAACTGCACTGAAAGTGCTAGGCGGCAGAAAAAGGATTATGACTCCAAGGCAGGGGGTAGTCCTTTGGCAGTGGGCGACTTTGTGTGGCTCTACAACGAGGCAAAGACCAAAGGCTTGTCCCCGAAGCTCCAGAGGAGGTGGGAGGGCCCTTACTTGTTAATTCGGCAGTTGTCAGATGTTACTTGCCGAATACAGGCGAAGAGAAATGGAAAGATGAAGGTGGTCCATGTTGACAGGTTGAAGCCGTACAAGGGGGAACCTCTTCAATCCTGGTTAGAAGCAAGTGAAAGCAGGGACGCTCAAGGAAATGAGCAGGAGTCTCCTAGCCAACTGCCACAGCATATGGACATCGAGGACTTGAACAGGGAAGATTCCCAGCCTGTCACACCCCCTGTTCCGGCACCACGAAAAGTTCCGGTCCCACCCCCTAGAAGAAATCCGTCAAGGAAAAGAAACGAGCCTATCCGCTACAGTTATTAATTAGATAGTTAACCCATTGCAACTATATTATATGTGATGAATGATAATCCAGATGATCTCGATTTTGTGTTAACCTGATGTCCTCTGTGTCGATTCTCTTACAGTAAGCCAGTATGCGACATTCCAGGGGGAACGTGAAGTGCTATTCTTGCGGTCATTACTTCTCCCACAAGAGAAGTTTGGAGAGACACATTCAAGAGAGACATCGAAGAAGGGAGGAACACAAATGCAGAGGGTGCGACAAGTCTTTTTTTTAGGAAGGACAACCTGACGAGGCACGTACAGAGTCGACACGAGGGGAAGACAACAGAAGACAAGCGGCAAGACGCGCCTGTGGTAACCCCTGTAGCAGCAGGTGAGCTGAGTATTCATGCTTCGAAGGAAACACTCTCTTCAGAGAACGGGAATGCATCGAGGCCGACCGGTAAAGATCTCAGCATGCTGTTAAAGGAGAGGGAAAGTGAGACCTCGTCGGTATCGTCAGAATCAGAAGCTGAGGTGGAGGACTGCCCAACCCCAACGTTTCGGAAGATCCAGATGGGAAGGCCAATGCAGGGGTTGGATCTGCGACGCACTCTTCCGGGCACCCCTCTGCAGGTAGAAGAGAGGTCTTCCTCAACACAGTTCTCGGGGGGCAAGAAGCTCTTTCAGGAGGAAAAGGTACGAGAGTACAGCGTGGTTTTCCTGCATGGGTGTGAGAAGGAAAGTTCGCCGGCGCCTACAAAGTTGCATCACCTCGCATCGGATCAGTCGCTAGGTTCCCCAATGTCCGTACAGGAGCTGGAAAGGGCCCTGGTCGGCCGGGTTAACAGCATTACTGAAGTCACCACAAGACGATCTTTTTGTGACGGGATTCTGGTAGTGGAGGAAGAGATCAGGACCAATTACAGTATTAACTTGAAGGCTGGAGCAATCTTACCAGAAGTTTAACTCATACATGTATATCAATTCAGCTATCATTAATATTGCAATTACTTGGAAACCTGTTTTCTTGTATGTATTTTATGCTGCAATTGAAGTTCATGGCGGAACTCATTTATATTCCTCTTATAGTGATTAAATTTTCCTTACATGTAACTATTGATGTTGTTGTTGTTTTTAGTATGAATATTTACGCCAGAATGAATTTCTATGATCTATTCCACCAAAGATGATAATGCGTGTGTATATATTACTTTTACATAACTCTTACCTCATGTTTAACTGCAGGCTTATTCGAGGATAGTGGTACTGCGTACATACTGATAGTACAGGTTGAAATAGTTTAAATTTGGAAAGGACTTGATCTTTTCCCACTCTTGTTCTTGTACAATTATATGTAATTATTGCTATACGTGAAAGTATTCCAGCGGATTTTTCGGCCTTTAATTGCAAAAATGTATTTATAGATGTTGTTCGCAGGACAGAATGATTAATTGAAATAAATGTATAAAAGTTTTATCTATGTAATTTTGCCTCATTCTTGCCAAAAGCATGTATTAAGACGATTTTGTGTTTTTGGTCAGAGGACTGCCCAGACTTGGGGCGGGGTAGTGTAACGAAATCGTTATTTACATTACCTAGCCTTTAGAGGGCGTTAGTTATTGTAATTGTTTATTGTTATTGTAGATGTCGCTATGGTTACGTCGCGCACTGCGATGCGCGTACGTGGGGTTAATCTTGTGGGCAGTTTTGTGTTGAGCTGCGGAAGAAGGAAGTTGTGCCTTAATTTGTTTGGAAGTTCAGATTATTAAAGTTCTTGGAAACACTACTTGATCTGTAAGTGCATATTATTTCCTGTGTTGGTAACTTAATTTAGTTAAGTGATTGTAAGCTGATCTGAGAGTGTCTGTTGCACAATATATTTTTGTGAGAACGTCGAGTACAGAGAAAGAGCGGGTTCTGACTGAAGAAGTGACGCTACCCAGGGAGTAAGAGACCCGTTTTCGTTACAATAGGTTTACATGAATATGAATTTATTAAAGTACGAATCGCAGTCGAGCAATAGCCAAAAGCCCATGAGCGAATTGCGAATAGTCTGCTATCCATGGTTTATGTTCTGACTAAGCTGTTTTTATTTATTGAGTATGCTTTTCTGATATTTTTACGAAGTCTGCTCGCTATTCATAAGGACCGCTTTTCATAACGTGAAACTTCCCTTACCTGAAGGGCCGCTATTCATAACAAGAAAATGGGGTCACTATTTATGAAGAGATAAGGACCGCTTTACATAATGTGAGATGAGGGTCGCTATTCATAATTTAAAGTGAGGGTTATCATTCGTTGGGACCGTTATTCATAATACGAAATCCGGGTCGTTTTTCATAATCATTGAGAAGGGGGGCTATTCATAATTAATATCGGGGGCCACTACTCATCAGGACCACTATTCATGGTACTAAATGATGGTCTCTATTCATAATACGAAAAGAGGGTCGCAATTCATAAAACGGGAAGAATTTCACTATTTATAATACGAAATGAGGGTCGCTGTTTTATTATCAAGAGGAAGGGGTGCTATTCAGAGTTTATATCGGGGGTCATTACTCATCGGGACCGCTATTCATAATTTTGTTTTAGTTTTTGTTTCTATATTTTATTTATTTAACCACGGTTAAAAAACCTGCTTTCAGCTAAAAGCTGCTTTTCAGCAAGGCCGTGAACAACAACAAACAAATTACTTGGATAACAGAAACGATGGAGGGGGTGTATTGTTTAAGAAAGGGATGTAAGACTCGTGAATGCTGCCAGGCTATTTTCTAATCGGATGTTTGCCGGTAGGTTATTGAAAAAGTTTTGAGGCTGAATAGAGAGGGCTCTTTTTGAGGTAATTTGTATGTGGTCGTGGCAGTTGAATTTGGCAATCGGTATTACGTAACAGGTAGTTCTGTGACAGCAGGGCTCCCACTTATACCCCCTTCATATACACGGATTTTTCTTACGAGTCCTTACGGATCGCCAACTCGTAGTCAATCGCAAGCACCCGTAAATAACTCGCTGGTATCCGTAAATAACTCGTCACAACTCGCAAAAACTCGTAGACACTCTTCAGGATCCGTGAAAGGAGAGGCAAATTTGTTGACATGTCAAAAATCTCCTTACGATTGTCCACGGATTGATATGTCCGTAAATAGCTCGTAACAATCCGTAACCATCCGCAAATCGCTCGCAACAACACGTAACCGTAAAATGCTCGCAAGAATCCGTAAATGACTCGTTACAGATTTTTGTAACGCTTCGTTGCGGTTAGATTACGATTTGTTTACGGATTATTTACGGATTATTGCGAGCAGTTTACGGATGGTTACGTGTGCTTACGTGTTGTTTACGATTTTATGCGGGTCATTTTATGGATGGCTTTACGGATTGATACGGGTTTTTACAAACATTTTACGTGAAGTTACGAGTACTTTACGAAGAGGTATAGGTATACTTTGCATATGCTTACGAACTGTTAACGACTTGGGGAAAGGTATAAAAGCTGCAAATTTTAACACTTCATTTTCAGTTGTTAATTTTTGGCTAAAAATCGTAAGGACTCGCAAATACTCGTAAGTTACACGTAACTATTCTTAACAACACGTAAACAGGTCGTTACTAAAACGTTAGTTGCTCGTAGTTATCCGTGACAACTCGTAACACATCGTAATAACTCGTAACAATCCGTAAAAACGCAAACAATTCGTAATAACTCTTTAACCGGTCGTAAAAATGGCCAAATCGTAAGGATCCGTGAAAGATCCGTGTATTTGTGCGATCCGTAAGGACTCGTAAGAAAAATCTGTATATGTGAAGGGGTATGAGCCCAGTTGTATTAGCGAGTTTAATATGGCGAGTTGTGGTAAGCTGCCTCAAGGAGGCACTCGCAATAACTCGCGAAAAGCTCTTCTTGTAAACTCGCAACAACTCGTTATGGCTCGACGTAACTCTCTACAACATTCCACGACTCTCCTCGAAGTCGCGAGCAGTTCAACATTTTTGAACATGTTCAAACAATTTACTGACTCCTTGTGACTCGAGATGAAATCGCTTACAATCGCAATATACTCGCATTGCTCGTAACAAGCTCGCACTGCATTCTACATAACACGTATCAACTCGCCACCTTCAAGTATACGCGAGTGCTATTCGAGTTTCCAAAAGTGGAGTACGAGCACGACGATCGTGCTGCAAGTCATGTCGAATTGCTCACAACATTTACGCGAGTTTAGATCGAGTACGGGGACTTACGGCGAGTTTCGTATGAGCATGATCAGAGTGTAGGGCGAGCCTTACGAGCATGACAAGCGCACCATGATTATGTCAGCTGGCCTATACCATTGTGCAGAAGTTCAAGGCATGTTCTTCCTTCAGCAGATCTAGCAAATATGCTTCAAACATGTTTTGGCATTGTGTTTATATCAATGAAGAATTTTTATTTCGTTACAATTTCTACCTAGGTTTTCATTGTGTGTTTGTGCGGGGGTATAGATGTGGATAATTAGTCAATGTTGATGCATTTCGTTCGAGTATCAAAATACACCCTCCATATGCCAATATACACGTTTACATAGCAATAACCTGTAACATTTTAATGTAATTCAGTAATTATCATATTGTGTATTGTTGAGGCCATGAATTATGGATGAAAGGGGTCGCTAATTATTTTTTTTCATCTGTATCAACAAAGACGACACATTAAGAAGCTCAAGATAAAACACCGCATTAATGTGGACAAGAGATTAGTCTACATTCATCTCTTCTCACGTTATTACACCCCTCCCCTCTCTCTTTCCCCCTCTCTCTCCCTTCATCCCTGTTTTTCCTCTCTCTCTCCTAATAATTACATCTCTTTAATTAATTCCCATTCTCTCTGTTCTCCCTTCCCCCCTCTCTCTCTCTTTATCTATCTGTAAATCTGTCCTAAAAATTCACATGTTATCTATATGTTGGATACAATTACTAGATAAAGTTTGTTCAACACTGATCAAACAAGTAAGAGGGAGTGCTGGCGCGGGGGGGGGGGGGGGGGGGGGGGTGTATGCCAATGCTTGGTAGCAAGATCAAGAACAGAAAACAAAACAAGAAGAACAACAAGAAATTAAATAAATATATGACAGGTAAGCGATTTCGGCAAAGTTGTTGATAATACAATTATGTATTTTCTCATGAGGGCAATATGATTGAAATTATATTATTTCATTTGTATATTCTATAATGTTTTTTCTTGTTCTATGATTCATTGAACAAACCTGCCTTGAACTTAACATTTAGGTTTGGACCTAGCTCTACTTCAGATCGAAATATGTTATAGATATTCGATTCATATGCAAAGCAAATACTGATCCAATTTCAAACGACAGGTGAACAAACTAGAAACCTCGGTGAAAGGTTGTTCCATCGCCGGATTAGTCATAAGTGTTTTGCTTTGCTAAGCTTTGTATGATGATTTAGGTTGTTTTTTTAATTAAGCTGCCGTTATGTTTGCCTTTGTATTTGAAAAAAGGTTTTCATCAAATAGCACTAAACATGACAGATGTTTGTCATTTATAATGATTTATAACACAATTTAATGTGTTTGATCACACAACGTCTGGGTTAGCGGGCACATTTTAATCATCACGAAGATATACAAAAGCAGCAAAGTATACATATGAAAAAGTACTGTAACTGGGATTGGCCCTATGCTCCTAAATAACAAAGGCTTGTCTTTCGCTATACATGTATTCAACAATAATTATGTAAATTAACCCTTTCAATCTCCGTACAGGCCTATTAAAAATCAGGAATCTATATAGACCCAAGTCTTTCGAGCAGAGTCAAACTTAATAAGCTAAATCAGATTTAATTGATTGTTATTTCGAGATGGTGATATAAACATGTCATTTGTATGACGTTTTGCACTAAAGCTACATGAAATTAATATTTCATAAACTTGCTGATTGGTTGATTTGAAACTTAAAGCCAATCTA